TCTCTGAACCTCAGTTATCGCACCTGCAAAGATCATAACCTCACACTCCATGTAATTGTCTCAAAGAATGAAATGAGATAATGAGTATGAACCCACAGAATGAGCATCAAAGCACTTTGAACATGTAGGATCTATTTGAGGGTGGAGGGCGGAGGAGGAAAAGGAGCAGAAAAGACAACTATTGGGCACTGGACTTAATACCAGAGTGATGAATAATTTGTACCACAAATCCCTGGGATAGGAGTTTACACATGTCAGAAACTTTTACATCTACCCTGAATCTTTCTTTTTTTGAAAAAAAGGGGGAGGAGAGAAAGAGACTCCAGCTGAGGTGAAACAGCAAGACTCTGTCTCTCTTTCTCAAAAAAAAAAAAGAAAAAAAAAAGAGGCTAGTCACCTTGACGGACACCTCACCAAAGAAGATATACTCATGGTAAATATGCATGTGAAAACGCTCTCCATTACATGTTATCAGGGAAATATAGATTAAAGCACACACAAAAAAAGATAGAGAGAGAGAGAAAAGAAAATGGAGGGCATGGCAGATTAGAAGACTGCCTCATGTTTATTTTCAAATACACTAATAGAAACAACTTTCTTATTAGCATTCTCATATTCAGTATAGTTGGTGCTCTAAGTTGTAATATTATACATTCCTTCATAAACTCAATAAAGTTGTTTTCAATCTTTGTGAAAAAATACACATGCCTTTAAGTGCTACGATTTATTTCTCATGCAAAAAATATGTTCATTAAGTGAATTAAACCTCAAATCTCAACTTTCCTGCAGTGTGCTGCATTTTGTGGGCATATAATGATGATAATGGTGCTCTGTTCCTTATCTCAATTTGGTGGAAATATCAGTTTATGCTGACCTCCTAGGTTAGAAGCCCTTTTGAGTGGGGACTGCACATCTGGCATGAGAGAGGAACATCCCCGATGTGTTTGGATATGATGAATAAGCAGGTACCTTGGATATTATGACAGAGCACTGATGCCTGAGGATGAGAGGGACCCCTGGGGACATGTGGAAACAGAAATAAAAAAGATTTTTAATAGAATTCATCTACCTCAGCATGTGTCCCCGAAAGATTACACTCCACCCAACACCATGGATCTGGACAAACAATGTAGTGTATTCAGGGGCCCTTTGTGATTTCTGCCTCTTGTACCAACAATCTTTCTTAGTAAACAGCTTCGTGCATCTCACCAAGCACTTGCTGTCTTCCTGAGATGTCAGCACAAGCATCTGGGTACCCCAAGATAGACTTACACTTCCCAGTTGAAAACTATACTGCTTATCTCCAAGAATCAAGAACAGGGGAGAGGGGGAGAGAGAGAGGAGAGAGAGAGAGAGGGAGAGAGAGAGAGAGAGAGAGAGAGAGAGAGAGAGAGAGAGAGAGAGAGAGAGAGAGAGAGAGAGAGAGAGAGAGAGCTGAGATGCCCAGAGAGAGAGAAAGAGAGAGACCAGAATTTCTTGCCAGTGTGGGTCTTTCCAATGTAGGTTTATGAGGTTCTGGACAGCTTGACTGGCTGCAGTCCTAATATTATAAAACAGAATTGATTTGCAAGGACTTGAGCCAGGAGAGGGCACACCTGGGAGGCAGCTGTGAGATCAGCACAGAGAAAGGGTGCAAATGCTGAGGTATCTTGAAACCTACAGCAGAATAAACGGTTCAGGGCAACCTGAACCAGAGCCAGCATTTAGTGCTTCCTGATGGGCCAATTGAATTCATCGGGGCCAAGCCAGGTGCCAGCCTTTTTCTTGAGAGAGAAAGGAGGTTCTGTGTGTGAAAAATTAAAGGTCTGAAGAGGAGATGTAGTTAGTATGTTAAACCTGAAGTTACACTGAATGATTTAAAGCTGGATTTTCACTAAAATTTCTTTACTGTAACTATTCCAAAAAGATATCCACTAGTTCAGGAGTTTCTCTACACATTAAACTGTCAAAGGGATTGTTTTGATGAGGATTCTCAACCCTGGGTTTTCTTTAGGATCTTCAGAAAATTCCCACTCCAGACAAAATGAATCAGAATCTCTCTGTGATGGATCCAAAGATGGGTGGTTTTAAAAACCTTTCTAGGTAATTTTAATATGCAGCCAGGACTGAGAACTGCTATCTTATGTTGAGATGGAAATGCGATACCAAAGGAATCCAGAGAAAGAAAGAGTTGTGGTTGACAGGCTGTGATTCCTGGGCTTAGCCTCAGAAAAGAAAAGTTCCCTCATGTTTATGCTTAAATAGCACTAGAATAGAAAGAACTAGGGCACCTCAGCCTGTGATGAGTTTGTCAAAGGGTTGACAATAATGAATTTAATCTGTGACTACCAATCAGAAGCCAAACTTCACAGATCCCAAAACATTAACATAGACAAGCTGTTTATGTTTTGTTTACAACCAAACATAATACATTTGGTTGTAAGTTTCAGTCAACTATCAAGGATTCACAGAATAGAAACCCACTCAAGGTAGCTCAAGATTAGGAAGGTTTGTGGTAGAGACCCAAAAGGTAATTTCATGGGATTCAGGGATTTGGGCTCCCAGAGCCAGAAACCAGACACTCAGGGACTGAGGTCACTCCTTTCACCTCTTGGTCAGCTGATCTCCTTCATCTCTGTTCCTCTTCACACTCTTTCTTTCATTGCAATTGCCTTTCTCTGATTACATACTTCACACAAGGTCCCACACACAAGTGGTTCAGCTCTAATTTATCACTATCTTTCATGTCTAGAGCCCAACACTGACTAACAATTGTTAAGGTGTTTCTTAGTTCAAATTTTCAACAGAAAAAGATCTGGTCATTAGCCCAGCAAAGGATGGCTGATCTGATCTTATCTACCTTCAGGTGAGGTGTCAATCTCCTCCCATATACTAAGGTACGGGTGGAAAATTTCATGTGGTTCACAGGCTGAACACTTTAGGAGACCATTGGAAGGGCAGGTGGTTATATAGTAGCTATAGGCAAGGCAGGTAAACAAGTCTATCTAATTTCCATTCATATCTGATGAAACACACATTTTGCTTTTCCATCTTCTACCTTCCAACAGATGGGTGGATATGGGGGAGATAAAGAGAAGTTTAAAAGATCATGCCCTGTCTGCACAGGACCTAGTCTAGCATCCAAGAGAGGTAACCACAGACTGGCATCACTCAAAGTCAGTCTACAAATCCTCAACCAGCATTTATGTACATGGTTCTACATGTGTTGTCTTCCTCTGGAAACCACTGAGAAATCCATTCTTGGTCATGTTGAAGCCTAAGGATACTCAGAGATCCTGTGGTAGGTTCTATTTTAACCCTATACTTTCTGCTACATTGTGGCATGTGAACATGGAACATAGACATTAAGGAGGATTCCCCTCCCCTGGGGCCTTTATCTGATCATTTGGAAAATCCTCAGTTAACGTGCTATCACAGTGATTTGATGCTTCACTTGAAATAACATTCTTGACTCTTAGATGACAATCTTGTACTAAAACACAGAATGGCTCTTTTCAGAAATTTAACTTCAGTCAATCAATTTCAGGGTTCAAGAAAATAGTGGTGTGTGGATTTTTTAAGCTCCCCAGATGAATAAATTCTGTGTAAACTCACTTTATGTCCAGCATCAGCTATTTCAGCAAAGAATTGAACTGTCATATGCCCCTTTTTCTTGTAATTAAGTTTGGCTGCATTGTGGTAGGGATAGTCTGGACTTGGGGGATGTGTTTAAAGGTGGCAATCTAAGGTAAACTCATCCCCCAACCCATGGACAGTCTGAGTATCTTTTTTTTCCCCTCTTTGGAGCTAGAGGCAAAGTGAAGGGAGGAGAGGGTTTATAGGGAGAATTATGGGGAGCACTAGCAACAAACATTGCTGATTTTCACTTTGCCCAGACCATGTGGTCTCTGAAAACTATGGTTGTGGTCTCTGTGCAATGCCATCATGCCAATGTGCAATCATCTATTTTAGAACCTCAGATGGCAACAACTATTTTAGTTCTTGCCCAAGGACAGCTATTGCAGATTCTGGAAGAAGAAAGAGAAGAAGAAGAAAAAGACTAATACGTATCTTACTGACAAAACAAAACACCTTTAAACCAAAAGGATGATTTATCTGGGCTGAAAATAAAACTTCTGCCTACTGAAGTCTGGTGCAGCTGAGTTATCACTATTTTCATCCTGTAATTTGTTTTATAGGGTACTAATTAACAGGGCAAAGACTATTGCCAGGAAAATAAATCACATTTTGATGTTTTCTTCTTTTATAGCAAGACACAGACTTGGTCTTTAATTAAAGTTCAAGTTCCAAGGGCACTATCAGCTACTGAAATCCAGAAACATTGGGCAGAAAAGATCATGGCGAAATCTGCTGTGTAGAGTTCAGAAAAGATAATGGGAAAGAGAGGAATTGCACAGGCAAACTCCAAAAGAAGAGATTGTTTTCTTCAGATGTCCCCTTTCTATTCATCTTGTGTCTGCTCTCCATAAATCAGTATTTCTTTCCTGGATCTACTCAACAGAGCATGTATCACAAACGGCCTTTATGAAAATTGGATTTTAGGCCTGGCCTGGTGGCTCATGCCTGTAATAACAGCACTTTGGGAGGCTGAGGCGGGTGGACCACTTGAGGTCAGGAGTTCAAGACCAGCCTGACCAACCTGGTGAAACTCTGTCTACAAAAATTAGCTGGGCGTGTTGGCACACACCTGTAATCCCAGCTGCTTGGAGGCTGAGGCAGGAGAATCGCTTGAATCCAGGAGACAGAGGTTACAGTGGGCTGAGATTGCGCCATCTCAATAAATAAATAAATAAAAAGTGAATTTATTTTCCCAGATAATTCCTGTTTGGGAAGCAGCACTTTTTTTCCCTAAGGTAGCTACGCTTCCATGAAACACCCTTGTCCCAACCTCCCCCTTCTCCGGGGCTTCTTTTCCTACCTGATCCCTCAGTGATCTTTGATGCTGGGCTTTGCAGCCGGGCAGGTGCCACTCATCCCTCACCCCTCCCCTCCCAGCTCACCCTCTTCGCCGCCCGGTCTCAGGGTCTTCTTCACTGCTTTCTCCCTCTCCTTGTCTCTCCCCTATCCCATTCCTGGAAGTTCTGGACTGGAAGTGGCTGCTTTGGCTTCTCCTCCCTCCTAGGAACCTCAGATAGTATTGGGGGCGGGGAGAGTGCGGCGGGGAGGGCACAGGATGGGCTGGAGAGGAGAGTGAGTGCTGGGCTCGCACCAGGAGCCAGAAGCCTGACGTCACCGCGCCCTGCCTGTCAATCTCCTGCGCGCGCCGCTCGCAGCCGCTTTTTCTGCCACTAACTGTGTCTCTCACTCGCGGAGCCGGCACAGCGACAGGCGCCCGGCGCTCGCCTCCTCCCCGGCCCGGCCGCCTCTTGCAGGCAGCTGCTCTGTCCGCGCGGGGAGCTCAGCCCGGCGCCCCGCCTCGGCGCCCATGACCAGCGACTTCCAGAAGTCCTGACGCCCCAGGTAAGCGGCCGAGTTCCTCAGGGAACTTTGAGGATGTGGGGAGAAAAGGGGAGAAAGACCGCCAGGGACGGGTCTTACAAGAAGCGGAGAAATTGAGCCAACCTTCTCTCCGAACCTCCGCTGCCCCATACACACACTCTAGTCTCTCCTTCAAGACCCCCTTCACAGGGTACTCCTGGGCTCCGAGGAGCTCCAGGCTTTGCAATGGCAGAAACTTCGCTTTCAGCACCGCGGACAGCGTCTCCGCTGCCCAGCTCCCTGGCGGTGCCCTGATCGCGCCGCCACTACCCGGGCGGGACTCTCCCAGGATGACACTCCTAGTTTGGTGCACTTGGGTGCGTGTGCAAATACAGGCGCCCTTGAAGGACTGATCTGTGTGCATGTGAGTGCATGATCTCCTGGTGTGTATCTGCAAAAACTCAGAAGTCCGAGTGGGCATTTCACTCACTCAACAGGTATTTATTTTGGGTTCGCACTTAACCACTGTTTTCCCGCTGTGCTCTGGGGTCCCAGGGTGGGATGTGCAACTCGAGTGAGGCATTGCGAGAGGAGGCTCAAGGTGTGGGGAAGTTTCCTGGCAGCCTCAAGTGTATATCTGACGCTTACACTCCCTCTCTATGCAGGGTGCAAATCCGGCCGAGATGAACGCGAGCGCCGCCTCGCTTAACGACTCCCAGGTGGTAGTAGTGGCGGCCGAAGGAGCGGCGGCGGCCGCCACAGCAGCAGCGGGAGCGGACACAGGCGAATGGGGACCCCCTGCTGCGGCGGCGGCTCTGGGAGCTGGTGGCGGGGCAAATGGGTCGCTGGAGCTGTCCTCGCAGCTGTCGGCTGGGCCACCGGGACTCCTGCTGCCAGCGGTGAACCCTTGGGACGTGCTCCTGTGCGTGTCGGGGACGGTGATCGCTGGAGAAAATGCGTTGGTAGTGGCGCTCATTGCGTCCACCCCGGCGCTGCGCACGCCCATGTTCGTGCTGGTGGGCAGCCTGGCCACCGCTGACCTGCTGGCGGGCTGTGGCCTCATCCTGCACTTTGTGTTCCAGTACATGGTGCCCTCGGAGACTGTGAGTCTGCTCACGGTGGGCTTCCTCGTGGCCTCCTTCGCCGCCTCTGTCAGCAGCCTGCTGGCCATTACGGTGGACCGATACCTGTCGCTCTATAACGCGCTCACCTATTACTCGCGCCGGACCCTGTTGGGAGTGCACCTCCTGCTTGCCGCCACCTGGACCGTGTCCCTAGGCCTGGGGCTGCTGCCCGTGCTGGGCTGGAACTGCCTGGCAGAGCGCGCCGCCTGCAGCGTGGTACGCCCGCTGGCGCGCAGCCACGTGGCACTGCTCTCTGCCGCCTTCTTCGCGGTCTTCGGCATCATGCTGCACCTGTACGTGCGCATCTGCCAGGTGGTCTGGCGCCACGCACACCAGATCGCGTTGCAACAACACTGCCTGGCACCGCCCCATCTCGCCGCCACCAGAAAGGGTGTAGGTACGCTGGCCGTGGTGCTGGGCACTTTCGGCGCCAGCTGGCTGCCCTTCGCCATCTATTGCGTGGTGGGCAGCCACGACGACCCGGCGGTCTACACTTACGCCACCCTGCTGCCTGCCACCTACAACTCCATGATCAATCCCATCATCTATGCCTTCCGCAATCAGGAGATCCAGCGCGCCCTGTGGCTCCTGTTCTGTGGCTGTTTCCAGTCCAAAGTGCCCTTTCGTTCCAGGTCCCCCAGTGAGGTCTGAAGGGCTCGCTCTGTGTCCTCTCGCCAACACCACACCCGCAACAAGCTAGCCTTTGGTAAGCTCGGTGTCTGCTGATGAACTCTGAGACCCCAATGCCATGAGTCTGACTTTGGAAAGAAAAAGGGACTAAAGAGAAATGCAACAAACTCACAAGGACAAAGAGGCTTGTTGGCACTTTACATATACAGTGTATACATGTGTATATATATATACAAATATTTGTATCTTCTGGAGGTGTTTAGGATGTGGGGCTTCCTATTCTGTGAAAAACCGAGAAAATGATATGGTTGTATACTCAAATTTTACATTACATTTGTCAAGCGAAGACATTCCAATACTGCTTAATTATAGCACTTTATTTTTAGCTGCTGAACTGCCAAAACAGTGTTGCCATTTTCAAGGGCAGGGAAAAGGGAGTAAAAGGTGTATTTTTGTTGTATGTGATAGAATATTTTGCTGCACATGCATCAACAAATTACAACATATTTTGTACACGAATAAACCCATTATAAGAATGTAATTTGGGGTATGTGACTGACTATAGAACTATTAGAGAACTGAATTATAAGTGTATGAGTGTCCTTCCTTCCTTCCTTCCTTCCTTCTTTCCTTCTTTCCTTTTTTCCTTCTTTCTTTTTCTTTCATTCATTCAAGATAGAGTCTCGCTCTGTTGTCCAGGTTGGAATGCAGTGGCACAGTCATAGCTCAGTGCAGCCTCGAACTGCTGAACCCAAGAAATCCTGCCTTAGCCTTCCTAGTAGCTGGGCCTACAGGCATGCGACAGCATCCAGATTACTTTATTTGTTTTTAAAGTTTTTAAATTTCAATAGTTTTGAGGGTACAGGTGGTTTTTGTTACCTAGATGAGTTCTTTAGTAGAGAATTCTGACATTTTAGTGCACCTGTCACCTGAGCAGTGTACACTGTACCCAATATATAGCCTTTTATCCCTCACTTCCCTCCCAACCTCTACCCACTCCATGTCCCCACAGTCAATTATATCGCTCTGCATGTTTTTATGTCCTCATAGCTTAGCTCCCACTTATAAGTGAGATCATATGGTATTTGATTTTTCATTCTTGAGTTACTTCACTTAGAATAATGGCCCCAGTTCCATCCAAGTTGCTGCTAAAAACATTATTTCACTCCTTTTTATGGCTGAATAGTATTCCATAGTGTATACATACCATCTTTTCTTTATCCACTTCTTGGTCGAAGAGCACTTAGGTTGGTTCCATAATCCTTGCAATTGCAAGTTTCTTATGTACCATCATTCTCCTGAGAAAACCTTAATGTAAAAAAATCATATGCATTTGCACATTGTTCATAAACTTTCACTGAAATACCAAATTTATATTGTTGTGGTTGAGAGGGAGTGTGCAGGAAGAGAGTAATGTATTTATGTAACAGCATTCACAGGACAACAAAGGGCAGTACTCCCTTGGTTACTGGGTTTGGAAAACAAGTGCCAGAGGATGTCCAAAATTATTTTTTCCTTTTATCCCCTGTGCATTTGTGATTCCTGAAACCAAAACTTTCTATTGTAATTTTTCCAGTATGGCAAGAATTTTATGACTTAGTACATTGTTGCTGGCCAGATCTTGTAGCAAAATTCACAGCCTTGTAAAATGAATAAATTTTTCCAAGACAGAATTCCAAGATATATACCTCCAACCTCATGAGGTACATGAAATTATATCCAGTATTCTCCCTTGAGGTATTCTAATCTTCAAAAGAGGACACTAAAACCCTTAAGCACTAAACATTCCCATTCCACTTATAGGTGTGAGTCATGATTATTCTTCTCCTTCCCTTCTTACAGGATGATGTAGGGATAAATTGGAGAACATATGAGGGCATGCTCTGAGCCTTCTGTGAATTAATATGCACACAAGCCCAAGTCATTACTACTCTTAGGCCTTAGGAAATACGTACAAGAAAATTTGTTCATAGATTTTACAAATATTTATTGAGTTTTTACTACAATTGAGTTCCTAGACACAATTCTAGGGCTTGGAACATGGAAGTGAAAAAAAAAAAAAAAACAGACAAGAAGTCTCTGTACTCCACAATGCTACTTTTTAGTGGAAGAGATGGCCTACAAGCAAGCAAACAAACAAATACATAATGTCATGTTAGGATAAATGCTAGGAAGGGAAATAGAGGATGAGGGGTGGCAAGCTGTGGAGGGTGCATGAGAAATGACAGTGGCTTGGAGCATGGTGGCAGTGGTGGAGATGGTGAGAAATAGTAGGTTCTAGAAATGTGTTGAAGGATTGATGGGATGTGGGGTATGACAGAAAAAAGTTCAGAATTAGTCAAATGAGTGAACACACGAGCAAGGAAAAACTGAGGCCTGGGGGCGGGGTACACTGGGAAGTGAGATGATTAATTTTATGTGTCAACTTGACCAGACAATAGGGTACCCAGATATTTTGTCAAACACATTTTGATCATTTGAAGATCTGAATAGAACAAAAATATTGGCCTTCCCCAGGCAAGAAAGAAATCTTTGGTGGGTTTCCCTTGGACTCCACCTGCAACATTGGCTCTTCCTGGTTCTACTGCAGGTGGTCTTGAGACTGGTACTACAGCGTCAACTTCCTTGGGTCTCCAGCCCCCTGGCCCATCTTGCAGATTTTGGACCTGCCAGCCTCCATAATCATTGATCAATTTCTTAGAATAAATGTCTTCATATGCACATATGCATACATGTGCACACACACACATGCATGTCCTATGGGTAGGATGTATTTATCTACACATACATCCTATTGGTTCTGGTTTATCTGAAGAACCTTGATACAATAGAGGAAGGGTGGCAAATTTTAAGAGTTAGTTTTAAATACCTAAATAGCTCATGGGTGCAGTTTATTCATTTATTTATTTCACAAACACTTCTATAGCACTTACTATATGCCAGAGACTGCTCTAAGTCCTTTACAAATATTAGCTTATATTTAATCACCACCTTCATTTAATCTCAAACTGGTCAGGTCT